TTCTACGTCGACTCAATGCACACTGCTGTCTTGACCTTGTCGCCCTCGATTTTGATTTATGGATCTGTGTTGAAGTCTATGCGCCCCGAAGTAATTCACCGCCACAACGCTAGGAGGCTAGGATTTAAAACTGGCGTTCATGTATACAAAATGAAGCATGAAAGCGGAGTACCAGAAATGTATGTAGAGCGGATGTAGAGTGGACCAATCACAGCCCTTATTTGTCTGCATTGTTTTGAAGCATAGTTAGTTCACGGCAACACAGACTCTTTATGGCTGCGTTCAGACTGCAGCCTGAAGTTACCCAAATACGATTTTTTGGCTTCTATGTGACCTGTATCCGATCTTTTAATGACTGAACGGCACAGATCCGAATTTTTCAAATGCGACCCAGGCCACATGGATATGTGGTCCTGAATCCGATACATATCCGATCTTTTGACATGCGACTTCAGTCTGAATGGCCAACGCGCATCCATCCGACGTATACGTCATTAACAAGCGACAAACGTCACTATTCTGCGCTGAAGCAGGCGGAAACCGGAACTGTAAAATCGCCAGGTGCTCAATGCTCGCGACCATATTTGGACAACTTCCGTAAACACAGAGCACGCTCGCTGCGGTTGACGCATGGGGTTGACGTCATCATGTCCTCCAGTGCACATGCGGGACACTTTCGGGCCGTTTACCGTTCACACTGAAGTCACAGACAAGTCGCATTTAATTGGAAATGTGAACGACTTCGCAAAAACATCGGATTTCACAAAAAAATCGGAATTGAGCATTAAGCCCTGCAGTCTGAACGTAGCCTATGTCGTGACGCTGATGATTTGAAGCACAACCATGAATTAGGCTTTAGACCTAAACACAATTGGGCCAAATTGTTAAGCGGTTATTTTAATGGGAATAAATTAGTCCCACATTACATTCATTTAAAACCATCACAAATAGCAAATCGTTGGTGTCATAACTTTGGACCAGTATCAATCACTAATGAAGAAGTCTCCATCTCCTCCGCAAGTCTTCTCTAATTGCAATTGGCTCTGTAATTAACTAATATTCCATGCTTTAAGACACTTTCCAGACTGGATTCAACTCTCTTATTATGCGTCACTGATTAATAATAAGAAATACACTAACAGTCAAAAGTTTGGACTCATTCTCTCATTCAATGATATTTTTTTTTTACATGTTTACTACATTCTACATTTGCATACAGAACACATCAAATATATGAAGTAAGATGTATGGAATTATGTAGCAAATAATTATGTATAAAAGTTAAATAACCTTTTTATGTAACACCTAGAGCAGGGGTGTCAAACTCATTTTGGTCCGGGGGCCGCATCCAACCGACTTTGATCCCAAAGGGGCCGGATCAGAAAACTCATGTCATATAAACCCCAAAAATAACAATAAGTTCAAATATTTGTGCAGAGAAACACAAATCTATTACAGACATCTTTTTTAATTGATGAACTCTTTCTTTTACAAAATAATGTTATGAACAACCTGAAACTTTAAGAAAAATACAATTTCAACACAATGGTTTAATATGAACTTGTTTAACATTAACTTGTATAAATAGGAATAAGTAAATTTTTCTTGGTAAATCCTGCACTCTGCGTCCACTTTTCTCATTTTTAACATTTTTCTGATAAGGGTGTCATGGTCAACAGTCAAAACGATCGTCCTTAAAGAGCGTTTGGAAAGAGACAAGTCTTCATTTGTGCTGCTCTGGTGGGAGGGGCCACGTACAGAGGCGCTGGAGACGCTGCAATGCTCAGCACTGCAGAAAATTAACAATATTTTAATAAAAATATAATTAAAATATTTTAGTAGAAAATCAGCCGAGGGCCAGATTAAAGGTCTTGGAGGGCCGGATCTGGCCCCCGGGCCGCATGTTTGACACCTGTGACCTAGAGGATCCAAAGGTAGCTTTAATAACACAGCGAGCTAGTCAGTGTGTGGGTCTAACAGCCATATGGCAGCTTTTATTTACAAAACAAAATATTAAAGTTGCTTTATGAGACAGGTGAGGATGCTACTGCAGGGGTGAGGCTCCACCCTAAAGCTGGGGTGAAGGAGACATGCTATAAGTGAAAAACAAACAAGATTAATGCAAAGAAAACCGTCACACCCAATTAGAAGTACCACCACCACCAATAACTATAAATAAAGTGAGCCCCCTCCACACCCAGCCACCTCCAGACTTAACCCACAGCAGAGCTATGATAGACTGACAGTAGTAACTCAGACTAAAAACGAAAACGGCAACCAGCACTGAGCCTGTGAACACAGTGCTGTTAACATAAAATATATCAATCAAAATTAAACAGTAAGATAAAAGTTAAAAGCGTACCTCCGATCTGGACTGTTAAGATCCTTAAAATTATATTTACAAAAATTACACATGAGTTTAAAAAAAAAATAAGATTAAAATATACAAACAAACAGATATGGCTCACGAGAAAGAACCCTGCGTTAGACCTGCTCAGGAAGAAGTGAGCTGGTTCACCCCTGACCTCTATGGTGTGTCACAGGACAGAGACCACATGATCAGCTACCTTGCCACTTATATTTCATAGCCACATTCTCAAATTTGCCACCCTTTGCTTTGTCAAATATCGCACAACGCACTTCCTGATTCTCTGAGGGGAAAAGCTTCATAATTAGATGCACACAGCTGTCCCATTTCTTCCCTAATACTGCTTACACAATATAACTCGACTGCGACAAAAAAATAAAAAGATACAGCCACAAAATATCCCCAAAATATTATCAGCTGTATATAAAAATAATAACTTGCTGTGCCAATTCATATTGTGAGCTTATATTCTTTTGGAAATGGATGACATTTAGAGAAGGGCACGCAATGACTTGAAACAGATGGTCTATCCAAAGCATTTTAAGTGGGATCAATGTTGTCGTACATTCTCTCAAATAAAAGCTGTGTGGCAGAGATGCAGGTGCGTTACATTCAAACACTCAAATCAAGAGCCCATTAACAGTGAAAGCAAATGAGTAAGCTCCGTGTTTTTGAATTGTAAATGGGAGATAAGTACATCAAATCTGTCTCAAAGGATGTTATAATGCACCCTATATTTATTTAACTAATTGCAGGAAAAATCTCTGAAGAAAAAAACAGTTTAATAGCATTACGATTGCCTCTCAAATCCAGAATGAAATATTTGTATGGATGGTTATCAGTCTGGTCCCCTCATCCTCTGTTCCATCTCAAGACAGAACTAAACAATGGAGCTCACTGGTCACATATAATTTAGAAATGAAATCTAATTCATCTCACCTCAGATTAGTAGAGTTTAGTGTTTCGTTCACTGATTTTGTGGAAATCTATTTGTGGAAATCTTACTGCATGTCCCTAATTAATCCACCTATCAATCACTCCCATCTGAACTCAGGGAGATGACCAGAGATGACCAGATTCACATCTTTGTAAAATGCTGAAAAAGTGTGTTTCCCAGACAAAAGCTTTAGATAGTAATTGATTTTTTCCCCCTTTTCTTAACAGTTAGGTGACATCAGTAATCTTTTATTTCTAACTCATCACCTATACTGCCCAAACAAAAGACATTTTTCAATTTTTGCTCTTGAACTTTCTGTGCAGTGTTTTATTTAGTTAGTGACTGAGCTCCATTCTCAGTAAAATATAGTATAGTATAATGTGTAATCTCTCGGTTGTCCAGGGTCCATAACAAAAGAAAATTGAACTCTGACGAAACATATAGACTCTTGCAAACGTTTGTTTTTCTCAGTAACTTTGGAATGGGCGATATAGTTTGGAGAGAAGCTTATATTTCCTGTGTTGTTCTGTTTTCATCACATCTTTGCTCCTCCTCTTCCTCTTCCTAGGATTGGTCAGTCTTCTTTATGACATTTGCGTGAGTGACAGGTGGAATTAACCAATTACTTTGAGCTGTGAACTTTCAAAAGAGTCAGCTGACCTAATAATGCAATTTATAAGGTGCAGTACGTAGCTTTTCTGATAAATGGTCTGCCCTTTGCGCATTGCCACTGAGATGTTAAAGCTTTGTCTAGAATGTTCCACAGAATGGCCTTGAACTTGTAGCATTTATTTAATTATGGTGTTCAAAAATATCTTGACAAATATGCTTGTCTCCAATAAAAAATAGTAAAGTTTAAAGCTGTTCTTAGTTTAAAAAAAAAAAAAAAAAAAAAGTGCAGAAGTTTAAAACCATTCTGTGGAATATTCCGGGCAAAAAGGAGACAAGCAAGCGACAGACCCTAAACGAAACAATACATTTTGCACCTCAAATCAAAACATGCATCACAATAATATCGACATTGCGAACTAGATCCCAATAACTTTTCTTTTTATATTGCCCATCATTTAACCGCATTTATTCTTTCTAGCCATATTATGTAATTTTCTGATCTGTGTTATAATATTGCTTGGTTTATTCTTCAAAAACATACCTGGAGTTGTGTTTTGTTTCTTTATCATATGCACAAATTTTGGCTGAGTTTTTCTCTCAAATTTGAAACACTCTGTTCAACCCTGTGGTGCCACGTGGTAATACAATAAGTGCTCCGCTATGTTTTTAATCTCCGTACACTTTCCAGAAATTAATTTAGATAATTTCTGTTCTGGAATTGCAAATCTACTGAACTAAAGGTAAAAGGTATCTTGAAAACTACCACTACTTGACATCACAAGGTGGAACAGAGCATTTTGAGCTTTAGAGATGTAGACAGACTAATAAAAAAGTGTTACTCAAACACGTGTGAATGAAACAAAACACAACTCCATGTTTTTGAGGAGGTAACAACAACAACATTCTTACATGAGTAAATTTAGCACAATACAAGACCTTTAAAAAACAGACAGCACTTACTTAGCACTGTATCACTGTAGTATTGATGTCTTACAAGTTTCTGACCATTAAATACGATCTTAGCCGTGTTCTTTTGACCTTCTTCTTCATGCTCACATCTTGTCTCTCTTTTCCCACGTTCAGAAAACCAGACAGACCAGGATCAGAATTGCCAAGTCTGGAAACGCCAATGCCTTCCTCCAGAGCAAGCGTAACGGTCTGCTGAACGAACTGCTGGAGCTGACGGTGAGCTGACCCCTGACCTTTGATCCCTGACCCCACCCACATAACTAGAAGTGTGGGTGGGTAGAAGAAGAAGTCGTTTTAGAAGACAGAAGCATATTAAAAGGGAAAGATTGGACATGCTTGCTGGTGAAAATGAGTTTAGAGTGAATTTTAGAGAAGACACTATCTTGGTTTAGTTGATGAAGGAATTTGACAAAACTATTTTTTGAATGCAGTTGAATAAACCAGTCACTTTCAAACACTGTACAGCAATTACTACCAGAAAAACTAAGGCAATATTACGATTAAAACCAAAAAGAGCCAATAAATGAAAGAAACAATTCACCTTTTGAAAAATTGTTGTGGATTGATGTGTAATATGCTGAAATTAAGTGAGATCAATTCCCCTAAAATCTATTTAAAGCACCTATCTTAAATGTTTTAATTGTTTGTTTGTTTTAATTGTCAAAAAAGATACGACATCTACCAATTAGTGTGTGGTTCAGTATTAAACTAAATGGACTCTTGTGAGTTTTAAGACATGTTATAATGTTGTTACCGCATCAAAAACAGGATTAAAATCAAAAAGCCAATAAATTAAAGTAATAAATAAACTCACCTTTTCAAAATTAATTGTGGATTGATGTGTAATATATTGAAATTAAGTGAGATCAATTCCCCTAAAATCTATTTAAAGCGCCTATATTGCTTTGTTTTCTGATCTGTTACTATATTGTTTCCTCATCAAAAGTATAGCCAGAGTTATGTTTTGTTCCATTCACACATGTTTGAGTAATCCTTTATTATTAGTCTGTGTACATTTCCAAAACTCAAAATGCTCTGTCTCACCTTGTGATGTCACGAAGCTGTAGTTTTCAAGTTAACAGCTCCTTTTACCATAAATTCAGTAGAGATTGGAAATTTAAGGGCTGAAATCTTCCAAATGATTCTAGTGAAGGCGTATGAAGTTTAAAAACACAGTGGAGCACTTCCTGTATCACCACATGACATCACAAGGTGGAACAGAGTGTTTTCAGTTTGAGAGAAGAACTCTGGATATGCAGGATTTGTGTTAAACGTGTGAATGGAATATAACACAACTCCAGTTTTTGTTTTTGATGAGGAAACATTAAAACATAGATCAGAAAATAGTTTAATATGAGGCCCTTTAAACTTGAGAAGAGCTCTTATAGCCCGACAGAGCCCGTGCTTAAATCAGTTGTGCCCAGGATCAGGGCTGTCTCCTCTGCAGTCTTGTGTAGTTTTATTGTTAATTAAATGTTTACAGCAGCAGGTGGTTTTGACTCCAGCTTAAATAATGAGACCCCACAGAGCTTTAAATCGACTACCACACCACAGCCGCCTAACACCCACACTTCTGTATCACACCATCACAGTTTGGTAGTGCATAATATTTGGAATATTCTAACTAAAAAAGAAGTGCTTTTGAGAAATATGTTAGATGAGTAAATTTAAAACACGATTTAACTACTCCTACGCTCTTGTCATACACCATCATATCACATTAAAGGGCCTCTATTACACTATTATCTGATCTTCTGTACGTTATAACGTTGTTTCCTCATCATGGACATACCTGGAGTTTTGTTTTGCTTCATTCACACATTTTTAAGCTTTGGAGATATAGACAGACTAATAATAAAGAGTTGCTCAAACATGTGTAAACGAAACAAAACACAGCTGGTGTGTTTTTCACGAGATAACAACATTATAACAAGGCAAAAAGCTCACAAGAGTCCATTTTATGCAATATTGGCCCTTTGTCGGTATTACACTTCTATGTGGTATTAAGTGCTAACACATATTCAGATCACCATGTTACCTTTTATTGTTTTGATAATGCTATATTTTCTGAAAACAACATATTGACATTGTTTTGGGGAGAGATAGTTGTGTGGCTTAAAACTGTTGTGACCACCAGGGGGCATCGGTAAGAAAGCAAGAGATGATGACGACGTTTTATGGCTTTTATTTAAAATGTTGAACTATGTGTGGAAGTGTGTGTGTGGTCCTGAAACATACAAACACAGGGAAAAAATATAAATTATAATATATTTTATAAATACAGCTAAACAAACATGTCAGAAACAGTAGCTCCGTAATTACAGTGAGCATCTGGCACTCACAATGAAACTACTCTGAAACTAACAGACTTACTTGTTTACCGTTTCTTTTAGTCTGTCTGTTAGGCCTAACTAACTAACAGAAACTCTAAACAAGTAGCTGTATTAGTTTCAGAGTAGTTTCACTATAGCTGTCTCCTCCCTACAGGCAGATATAAGGAAGTATCCACCAGCATTTGACCAGAACTGAAGGAGCAGCTTGGATGAGCTGCAAAATGTATTCAGCCAAATAAACTGTGTCCAGTTGACAAATTGAATTTCTCCTTCGCTATTGTATCATGTGTTGTCAAGTTTGCTGTCTGGGAGTCTGCTAAATCATGCAGTCGGGTTGATTCTCTGCCCTGGCCCCTTTAGCCAATTGCAAAATACTGTGTAAAGTACTGTGCTGTGAATGAGTCAGAGAATACTAACATTAGTCTTTAAATACTAAATTATAAATAGATTTCTATGGACTTGAATAGTCTATTATGTAAATGTTCCTTTTACCCTCAACCTTTTAAATTTACTGTACATCACAGAGAAATGTAGGTGGTAATGCTCAAACAAACAGGCTGCCTCCTCTCCTCACAGCAGTGGCCAGAGTAAACCTATTTAAACATAATAGAGATCACGTTGGAGACTCATTGGTGTCCTGGGAGTGGAGACAATGGTCCTAAATACCATCAAAGTGCACTGCGTCTCCTGTCCCACTGTGAGACATGTCCCACTGGCTGGCATTACCGCTGTGCCCCTCAGCTCCGTATTGTATCTTTGGCTCAGAACAAATTGGGATGAATGACACAATAGAGGATTACACTCTGGGGTTCAAAACTGTTTTATGATTGCTATTTAATCTTCCTTTAGGATTTCTGTCATTTTCTTCCATCTGTTCTTTTCGTAAATTCTGTTTGTGTTACAGACTTTGGTCACATGTTTACTTCCTGATTGGTGCGCTCAGGCTGATGCTGGGTAACATCACAACAATCTATAAGCTAATAATATTTAATGCAGATGTGAACAGCTAAAATCTGTATTGTGAAAGGTGCACTGTGTACGTTTTCTGGTGGAAGGTCCCCCATTTGCTTGTCTTCATCAAGATGTTCCACAATATGGCATTAAACTTATGCATCTCCATAAAGACAAATATATGACACCACCATCACCTGGTTGTATGAAGTAGTTTTGCTGGTAAGTTATTTCTATTAGTTTGTCAAAGCCTGATCCTGTCAGATCTCAGTAGCTAAGCAAGGTCAGGCCTGTTTAGTACTTGGATGGGAGACTTCTGGGAAAATCAGGTGCCACAGTGGGGCACCAGTCACAAAAAAAAACCTTTGTTGTGTCCTTAGGCAAGGCACCTCACCCACATTGCCTAGTAAGAAAGTGGTGTGTGCGTGAGTGGTGATGGTGGTAATCAGAGGGGTTGGTGGCGCTGATCAGCAGCCGCACTTCTGTCAGTCTGCCCCAGGGCAGCTGTGGCTACAATAGTAGTCACCACCACTGGGTATGGAGTGAATGAATAATGCTCTGTAAATGGTCTTTGTGACATATGTCTGTGAAAAGAGCTATATAAATAAAAAACTTACTTACCATAGTGTATTACTTTTGTGTATTAATTTATCGAAAGCTACTGGCAACTTTTCAGCCAAAAAATAGGCTAAAATAAAAGCTTGTTGTTGTTGTTGTTGTTGTTGTTGTTGTGACTACTGCGCAAAAAAACTTAGAGAACCATGCTTACCTTACTGTCAGCGAGCTTGCATCTCCACAAACCTGACTCTTACAAGGCCATGCTTGTTTCCATGGAAATGTAGTTCATTTGGCTATAATCTTCCACAGGATGCCATTAAACTAATTTATCTGCATGGAATTTTTTTCCTTGAAAAAGTATGGTGTTTACTTCCTATTCCCATGGATTCATGCAGGAGACACGCCACCTCCAGAAAGTTACATACTGCACCTTTAACAGGGACCACGTTTAAACACATAAATCTCGTAAAAGAAAAGATGCTTTACACCAGATTTAGCTAAAGGTAGTTTCCACAAATACAATTAAAATTCATTCTAGATATCCATAAATTTACAATCAAAATACCCCCATCCCCTTACCCCCTTTACAAAAATATATGAAGATGTAATGTTCACACTTAAGTCATATGACAGTATTCCCAAAGCCTCAGACCCAAGTTATTTTATACCTATAGGCATAAAATGTAATAAGCTTTCAACAAGTGGTGGAAGTCTGCGAGAAAACCAAACACTTTCGACTGTTTGGTGCTGAGGAAATTGCCATTTGTCGCAGCCCTTTAAAAGTAATGGACCCAAAAATAAGCAATATGCAGTTGGCCTATACACCGCCAACTCATACCAGGGACACAACTTTTCATTGCAGACTTAGAAGAAGAATTTATCAGTGACAGACAAAAATACTGGAAACTACATTCAGTAATTTAGTGTAGTTAGTTTGTGTCACTTGAAAATAAATGAGAATGAAAAACTATTCTATGCCTGGTATGAACAGTACATTAAAAATAAGTTCAATTTAAAGGTCCGATATTACGCTATATTCTATCTAATGTTGTGATGTGATGTTTAACACACAAACCTCATTAGATCTCTGTTGCACTTTATGATGTCATGTGGTAATACCGGAAGGGCTCCACTGTGTTTTTAAACTCCATACACCTTCACTAGAATCATTTGGATAATTTCATCCCTGGAATTGCCTATTTTTATTAGCTAAAGGTCAATTCATTTTGAGCTCTGGAGATGCAGACAGAATATTGCAGGATTACTCAAACATGAAGTGTGAATGAAACAAAACACAACTCCGGGCATGTTTTTGATGAAGGAGCAGCATTCTGACCTGGCTTGAAGCTCACAAGAGTCAATTTTGCGTAATAT